GCTGTTCCAGAACAGATGAGAACCAGACAAGTGAATTTGTCCCAGAACAAAAATGTCGTGTGGAACCAGAAATAAGCACCTCCTGCTGCTGCCTGACACCCTCCTTGTGTGTGTCAGAACCTGAAAATCCGGCTTTTGCTGAAGGAGGAACTTGGAAACTCTTGTTGCCTTTATTTGAGGTCCTTCTCAAAACTGCTGCCTTTGTTCTCCTTTACACTCGGTATGTTCGGTGGTGACATTTGCTCTATGACCATGAGGTTCACATCTTAGGCTTGTGTGATGGCAGGTTTTCTCCTGGACTCCCCTCTTACTCGCTCCTCTCAAGAGTAAGTAGCTCTATAGTAATCCTGCTTTCCATAAACACAGAGTGTGTAGTCCCGAGTTGAGGCTTCGCCATGCCTGTCCATAGGTGGTGCTGGGAGGGGAAAATGTCTGGAGGTTTGGGGTGAAGGTAGAAATGATCAGCCACAAAACACCGACCTGTGCACAAAAGAAATGCAGCTAAAAACCTCTGCTGCCTTTTCTGCTGCTGGTAATTTGTGTTACGTGCGTAGCATAGCTCAGGGGAAGGTGAGTTAAGGTGTGTTTCCTCTCTAAATCCAGTTCTGAAGCGAATATAATTTAAAATATCTAAAGAGGTTGGCTATACTACACTACTGTGGCTCTTTCTATTAGGACAGTAAAGTCTAAACTAGGAACAATGTCTTCTGGATTTAATATTGCTTGGGTGTGGGTGAATTGCATTATATCCAGGAAATGCTGGCACAGTTAGCTGTCGTGTCACTTGTTCTGCTGATGTTCATCTCTGCCTAGTGCTGTCTTGTCCAAAACTGGACATCTGGATGGTAGGGATGTATATGGATTCTCACTGATTTTTTTTTTTCCCAAAAAACAGTTTTTATTACATGAATCTGTTGGCTTGAATTTTTAGGGTCTGTCACACGTCCTTTCTTGAGCTAAAAGGCAGGTTGGTAACGGAGGCCTCGTGCTTGTGTGGAAATGCAGAAGAGCACTGTGGTGTGTGCAATACAAACAAAGGTGAGTTGTTGCTCCTCAGTCGTATTGTTCCTTCGGTGGCAAGACCAGACCTGCGCTCTGGAGGAGAGGAAGTGCTGGTGGCAGTGTGCCATTTTCTGTGCCTCAGATGCAGGGCCAGTTTAAGTGTTGCAGCAGTTGTCGGTACACCCCGGAGCAGCCCAAGCTGCTGTTGTCGAGCTCTCGCTGCATCCCCTCGGAGCCCGACAGAGCTGAAGCATGCTCTGCTTTGGCTATAACTTTTGCTGCTTCTCCGGCTCCTCTGCAGGCTATTTTCCTGTGGAGGTGCTGCATTGCTTTCGCTGTGCCGGAGCAGCAGAAGGAAGCCCCAGCAGGGAGCAGGTCATGACTTGAAAGGAACTTTAAGTAGTTCATCTCAACCGAGTGCAAGCTCTGGGCAGCATCCTCGAGTAGGTCGCAGGCAGTATCTATCTCTCAAGCTCGTGCTTTGCCTGCCAGATGCTGCAGGCTTCTCTCTGAAGCCAGCTGTCTGGACAGCTTCTGTCTCCATGTCCCTCTGAACCATCTTTGACCCAGGCTGACACGCGATGCCGCTGTGCGGTGCGGCTCAGCATCCCCGTGGGGAGTGCAGAATGCTTCCCCCCACCACTCAAACTCGATGAGTGGCTTCTGGCTGCTGAGAAATTTTGAATAAAAAGCTGTAACAATGTTTGGCACCTATATATGCTGAGAACCTGTGGTCCTTCCTCTCTTCATGGGTATTTACGGTGATAAATCTTACCCCAACTGTGGGGTCTGAACATCCTGAATCCTGGTAACTCCATAGATACAGATTGCCAGTTTAGACCTCCGGCCAAGGGAGGCTGCTGGCATTTGGAATGAGAAAACATGGCCCTTGTGCTTAAAAATGGAGGTTTGAAGTGAGTGTTGCAGAAAGAAGTCCCTGTGTCTGTTCAGAAACAGGATTTTTGTGTGTTGCCCAAAAGGTATGCCAAGGGTGTGGGTCATTCAGAAAGGAGGCTTCCAGTCCTAGTGGTGTGAAACTAGCTCTCATCATCAAATCAGCTGGATTTTAGCTAAACATTAGGGACCAAGAGACAATCTTGGGGGCTTTTTTTTTAATCTGTTTTACAGAAAGATTACAGTTGGAGACATTTTAAGCTGGGGTTTCTATAGTGCTGCTGCTTCTGGTACGCCCTGGCAAACTGTGCCCTGTCACTTGTGCAGTTGCCCCTTTTGAAATCTCCCAGGCAGGTAAGATAAGCTCAAAGTGTTTCAAACCCCTTCCCGTGTGTGTTACCACTAATCCGATGCTCGTGGGATTCACGTCCCTCCCCGGAGCCGTGGTGCCTGGGTCAGGTTGCTGCAGCCTGTTTCGTTGAGATAAAGCCTGGTCACTGGTTTCTGCTCTCCAAGTCAGAAAACTGTGGATCTTGGGGAAGAGACATGCTGGATGACTCCAGGAACCTCATGTCCCTCCTCTTGGACAAGTTATTTCTTCTTTTTAGTTAAGGATTTTTAACGGGTAGGTCTGTCTGCTCTTCTGGGTGGGGACCACCTGGGGATTTACAGGGACTGTGCAGAGAACGAGCATGCAGCAGTGGAGATCTCCCACCTCTTCTGCGTCTCCATGCTCCCTGCAGTTCTGCTGCATCAGAAATGAGTTTGCTGTGCTTGTATGAGAAGGGGGTAGGTAGAAAATGGTGAGTGCTACTGTCTTTAGACAAAATCTCAAATTTGTATTTTTGGGAAGGAGAGAGAGAAATGGAACATCATTGTTGTTCTTCCTTTAATGTTCTCTTTTTAATTGAAAGCCCAACATTTAAAAGCTGGGGTTTTTTTCTCCCTTGCCTGCCCCAAAATCATCTGGTATAGTTAAAAACGCTTTGTATCCGGTGGCCCCACTGTGCAGAAAAGAGCAGCAGCCTGCCGAGGGGAGGGAATCGGGAAGTGAGGCCAGCAAGAAACAGGAAGCAAACCCGAGGAGTCTGCTTCCATTTTCTAAGCCAGCCTTCGGAAGGAAGGGGCCACAACCCCAGCAGCATCACAAGCCCCTCGCCGCGGAGCGGCGGG